GTGACTCACTGCCTTAGCATGAAAGCTCGTTATGTAGATTTCCGATTATATTCGTTTAGTCAGCTTGATACAAAATAGTTAACATTGTGAACAATACTGAATCTTGTAAGAAACACGACACCAATATAGTATGTTGCCTATCTGTGGATAATGAAAAGAGAAGCAGAAATGTAGTGCATCTGATTGGCAGTGCTCTAGTTACAGCAGTGAACTGCGTTTAATCACAGGCTGCTGCTAGAGTATAGGCTCTTCACGATCAAGTAAGAACTTTTGAGGCCATAGTTACTTTTTCCTTTCGGCTATTTTTAATTCTTCTGCCAGCTTTTCAAAATAAATATTGCCATATAAGTAATAAACACAGTGCGTACGTATTCAACCGCACTCGGAAATTAACGTCTAAGGCTACACTCTAAATCTGAAACAGTGATATTTGCGCCAAATCATTGAAAATAGTGAAAATTGAGCGACTGATAATCAGTGCCTGGTAATTAATTAATATGGTGGCTGAATTTCACTTGCTTATTTGAGATTCACACTGAATATCGAGAATTCCACAGCCAAAAATCTCTTGTTCCCATTTAATTTCCTTGATTTGTCAGTAGTCACAGAAGCTTATCAACTGACTTTTTGTGAATATTGTTTTACTGATTCGGATTTAGAGTGTACAAAATAATACATTTATTGGCTATTATTCCAGATGAGAGGGTTTTCAAATGTGCTCACTTTACCGTGAATAGCCTATAAATGGGGGCACCTGTTTTTCGCGAAAATATTTCAGGACAAGTTGCGTTCCAAAACACTTTCGTTCGGAATCACTTTCGTGATTGGACCATTTTACTTGTTATGTACCTTATGTGTCTGCCCGCGAATTATGGCCAGTCACTATCGGAGAAACTTAATTCTGATTGGTTAACTCACGTAGTAGTAGGTTTCACACAAATACAAGCTGCCAATAGCCAAAGGATGACTGCAAGTGTGCAAATTGTATATTGAAGTTTAACCTTCGCGTAAATATTTTCGCAAAAAACGGTTGGCCCACCCTATAAAAACATTTTCTTACCTTTAGGAGTAGGCTGCACGTGACTAAGTCGCTATACTGTATAACCAGTTGTTATATCTGGCTCGGCGTCTTACTGAGAGTGTTCCGCGCCAATAACAGACCTCGGAGAAATACCCACTTGTCAGAAGTATAGTCTCGGGCCGAATGTATTCACGTAAAATCCAGACCTCGAATAATGCTACAGGCCACTGCTGTCACATTTCAGTAATCTATTTGGTTGCTGCTAGTAAAATCGAGCAACAGAAACGCTACGCACAGTTTCCTATATGCAAGCAAAATTTATGTATTAATAAGTAGGGCCACCTGTTTTCTCGCGAAAAGATTTACACGGAGGCTAGACTTCAATCACCTATGTACACACTTGCAGTCTTCATTTGACTATTGGCCTCTTATCTTTGTATGAAGTCAGCATGTTACATGAGTGCGCCAATCAGAATTAAGTTTCTCCGATACTTACCGTCCGTGAGTCACGGCAGATGGATCAAACGAGTAAAAATTCAAATGATCCAATCACGAAAGTGTTTCTGAACTATAGTGCGTTGAAACACAACTTGTCCTGAAATATTTCCGCGAAAAACATGTGCCCCTATTACTAGGAACCTGCAAAATTCGCGTTATCTTTTTACATCATACTTAAATTCATAGTACTGTATATATATTTGAGCCGGCGTCGTTTCTCCATTGGTTGTGAAGTGTTCATTTATTGGCTCAGAGTTACCCGGGGTGTGTCAAATAAAGAATGGCCCAATGACACACGTATGGCAAAGGAAAAGTGTTTTTAAGTTTAACATGTCCTCAAATAATAACGCGAATTTTGCAGGTTATTGCCAGGACAGAAAAAAATTTTCTGTTAGAACATTTGAAGTAATTACTTAACATTTGAGTAAACGGATTAAAGACAGCCTGCTCGTAGGACAGTGTTGCCGCAAGAAAATTTTCACGCTTAACTACGTTTGGAATGTCTGGGAAATTGTATTTTCTTCATTTGTTTCGCCAACATAACATTAGATCTACTTTCAGGACCAAAAAATTCGGTAGTTCAGTGTTCATTTGAGGACAAATTATACTTCACATCAGGTGTTAGTCTGATTTACTTTTGGCTCATTCAGGGCGACTGCGAGTAAGTACTTCGTGTCAGTTACTCGCCCAGTGGGTTCATATCCTGCCCAGTATGTGCGCTTTGAAGTAAATCCGTAATCATTATGCATTACGCTTAAAGGTTTATAGCAGCACTGATTCCCATTCTCCTCGCCATTTTAACACAGTGAGGTTCGCACACATTTACTGGCACGAAAAATTAGAAGTGACTCGCCTCTATCTACTACTGCAAGAACACCGGTTCTGTTGTTGTTTTGTGTTAGAACTGACCAGCGTCCTATTGGTCCATACCACACAGGACACTAGCCTGTACTTTACAGCTTTCATTATTGGCTGGTTATTAACCAATGAAGAGCCGAGCTGATATTGGCCCAATCAAACGTCCTTTATCGTATAAAAGGATTTACAAAGAATCATGTCCCTTTGAGTGGCTATATATATAAAAAAAAAAAAAAGCAATTCTATCGTTAGCAATATTATTGTTACTGCACTGTGGTGTTCTTGTGAGGCTGTGTTAAACACCAACAGAACCAAGACTGCACATCCGTGCGAGTTTTATAATGAACAACCAAGACATTTTCAAATTAGCTTTGCTCCAGCTGCACTCGAGCGTAGTCTACGAAGTGTTAATCTGGTATGCCAGTTTCGCCGCACAGTTTCTGAGTATCTGCTCATCTTCAAGGCTGCTGTGTACCGGATACATTCTCTGCGTAGCGTTTAATTTCCTCCTTCGTCGCTTTCACTTGTTCAGGTTCCCAGCAAATGTCACACAACTCTGCCTCGTTACGGTACGGTTTATTCGACTCAAGTTGGGAAGCTCAATGCCTTTAGTTCGGCAATTACAATTTTTCGCCACTTGGTAAACGCTAGTGTCGCATCAGCACTGGATTCTCTCTATTTTCTACGTTAAAAAACAAAGTAATTGCAATAACCATTTATCATTAGGAACTTGCAAAATTCGCGTTATTATTTGCCATCAGGATAAACTTCACAGTATTGTATATAGTTGAGCCGGCGTCGTTTATCCATTGGCTGCTGCATACACGTGAAGTCGGACCCTTCCTAACTGAACTGCACGTGATTGGCGCATAGTTATATAGAATGTTTAATATAAATAATGTTCTAATGACAAACGTGTTGCAAAGGTCCATGTGTTTTAAGTTTAACCTATCCCCAAATAATTACGCGAATTTTGCATCATATATGAAATAACTTATAAGCTAAATAAGTAAAATATTTATGTCTTATATTTCACGTAGCTTAAGATTTCAATTAAAAGTGATCTCTTTGGAACACTCCGAACCCAGTGGCGGGAATTTATCCTATGCCAAACTATCCCATAAGATAACTCGTTTTGTTCCTATAGGTGGTTCACGGTAAAATGAGCACTTTCGAAAGCCCTGCTCACAGTTTCCTCGCCCGCATGTTGCCTCGACGCGAGGTTAACGTTGCTTCAACTCACGTTAAAGGCCGTTCACCATAAAGTGAGCACTTTCGAAATCAATCTTAGAAAAAATTCACTGCCCCTACCTGCTAATATTTTAACGGGCGCGACGAGTGACACGTGTCCAGTAAAGCTGGTAACGGTGGAGGGGAAAGAAGTTCCATATATCAACGTCGAACAAAAAAAGTGTTAGGTAATCATTTGTGATAGCTTAAATTATTTTCTCGCTTTCTGTATTTTTAAATTCATCGAAGTGTTCAAATTAGCTGGTTTCTAAAATATTTGCTTTCCTAATAATTTCACAGTTTTACTTTACCGACGCACGAATAAAGTGACAAGGCCCATGGCAATGTTAATTTTACATAAGGTGGAAGAATACAAAACGTGCATACAAGTATATCGTAAGCAGGGCTTTCAAAAATGCTCATTTGACCGTGAACAGTCTTTAGCAGCTTTATACACGCATGACAACCAATTACGAAAGCAAACTGACATGTGCACAGTATGTCGAATTTTAGACAACAGTAAACGTTTTCCGCGATAAACTGTCGTCTCCAACAATCATTTTTAGGTGTGGAAACTCAGATACAAAAAAAAAAATTTGCAGCAACACATGGTAGTGCGTCACACCTTCGTCAGTCACAAAGTGTCAGGATCACTACAGAAAGTTTTATAGAGGCCGGTTTCCTACGTAAAGGCTGCCGGCGGCCAGTTTAGTGCCTTGCTCGTAGAGGCGACAAGGCATGTAATATGCGTGCCTGGGTCTCCCTTACCTTTCCTACACTTTTTGGCCTCGGACACGCAAAACGTTTTCATCACCGACTGTAAGGTTACTAGGCCAAAGATTATTGGTTGGTTCTTGAAACTGTTCCTTCGGCAGTTTTCTAAGTCTGTCGACGTAACGTTTTCCATTGGGTTTATAGGACTATTTACACTTAATACGATATTCGGTTAGGATATGATTGCGCAAACCACATTAATGTGTATTCTTTGTTTCTGTAGACTAAATTTGCTATTTTCCATAATTCTCTGCATATGCTTTCGCTTCTTCTATTGGCAGGATTACAATTCCTACTAAAGTTAAGAGTAATTTTATTTCAACTGCATCGCTTTGCCTAGTTTTATTCACTAAATGCTAGCCATAAAAGTTCAAATCATTCTCAAAAGTTATTTTTTTATATAAAACTTAAATAATTAAAATTTGGAATTGAATCCCTTTGAGTTTTTGCAGCTTGGTCGTTATTCTGTTCTACGCGTCTTTGAAATTATATACTGAAATAATAAATTCGTAGTGAAAATATGAAACGGAGAACCGTTTTACTATAAAATAGTTTTGATAATAAATCTGCACAATAAATTCGAACGAAAATAGATAATTTGAAAAAAAAAGTTTTCTTTTTCCGGTATAGGGAAACGAACTCGAGCCTCCTGGGTGAGAGCCAGGTACCCTAGCCACTAGACCATACCGGACACTTGGCAAAATGCTGTTACAGGAATAGTTTTTATGTAAACACATTTTCCATGTCTGCCTGGGCCACGCAAAGGGCCGTGGTGCTGTAGTGGTTAGACTAGCTGCCCCCACCAAAGCGTGCTGGACTCGACTACCAGAGGGGTCTTCCCCAGATTTTCGCTAGTGGGAATCGTGCCGGATGATGCCGCTGGTCGGCGGGTATCCTCGGTCGGAGATTTCCCGTTTCCCCCGCCCTCGCGTTCCGGCAATACTCCATATTAACCTCTCTCCACCCTCGTCGGCTCTCGAGACCACGATGTTAAGAGCAGCCCAAATTACTTCACTCACTCCGGACCACATTTCTACAAAAAAAAATGTATAATGAAATATTTAACACTCTGAAAATTGTGGTAAATGAAGATCTATAGACTCAACAAACACTCTTACTACAGGCTATTCAAGGTAAAGTGAGCACTTTTTAAGGCCCTCCCAACAGGCATTAGCCACTAATAAATATATCTTATTGTAGCCTTAGGCATTAAGTTATGAGAGTGGTGAAATGTATATATTGTGTTTATTGGCCATATTGCAATGTTTATGTTAAAAAGCAGCAGTTACATAGAAATTGGGCGAAAGCAAATATTTAGAAGGGCCTTAAGAAGTGCTCACTTTACCGTGAAGTTAAATGAACGTTTGTGCTGCCGTTTGCTCTCCAATTTAGAGTGCCCAAGCGCCTGTTCCTCGTTTGAGAGGGGAAGGGGCAAGTCAGTGTATTCTCCTGCACCCCCTTCTCACGGGTTGTTACGTCAATGAAGTTGGTAGCAGTGGAATGCAAATACAAACCGGGAAAGGAAACATGTAGAGCTTAATCGCTAGAGACACTGGAAAATCGCGAGAATTTTGTAAACCAAGATATCTTCGAAAACACTGTAGCTAGTGCATCCTCTTATGATTTTTGGTTGGGTGCCGTTTGTAATATTTCAAATAATTATACAAGTCGTCAGTTGTTACCTTTACGTATAAATTTTAATATTGGAACTAAGACGTCCGTCTACCTAGAACTTTTTTCCCCGTTCTAAGTCGAGAGACGAGGGAGCGTTAAAGGCGATACAGCCACACGCATCAAGCCCCCCATCGCCTCTAAGCGCAAGACTCTGAACTGGCGTGCAGTGTTCTCGTCGCACTGCGTGTACCTATGGGACTTTCAGCGGCGACCCTATTATTTTATTGGTGGAGAGTGTGTAGGAAGGTTCAATGCATGTCCCTTGACCAGTTTTGTATGGATCTGACACGTACATTTTGAGATACAGCGCTTTGAAAAAGCCGTTTTTAGCCATTTTGGCATGCTCTGAAATGGTGTTTCTAATTAACGCGAGATCTTGAAAACACTCAACATCCCTCGTCTGAAATGTGTGTTCTTTTCGTAGGTCAGTACACTGAACGCACGTTTAATAGTTTCGTAGAAAAACGTTTATTTCGAACACTCTGCAACGAACTTCAAGCGCCAGGTAGACGGGCGCCTTAAACTCTTCTCATAATTTTATTTTCCTCGTAGTTCATCTTTTGCGACAAAATTTTACAATGACCAATTCTTTTCTTCTCAAACACAAACAAATAATATTTATTCTTCTTCAATTAATAACTAATAATTATTCATATTTCAAAACGTACTGCAACAATATTGTATATTGTCTATCATTAAAACTTTCATATTACACGACTCACGTCCATCGTTGGAGGCGGTGGAGAATTTTTCTAAAGAAAAAAATAGTTCTATTTTACATCGGCCTTACTTATATAGTCTCCTGTTTTCTGATTGGCTGTCGTCTGACTATTACACATATCTCTGCCAATGAACAATGCTGAGACGAGAGACAACTAGGATAATTTTATTTAGTACTTCACTTTAACAAACATTTCCTGATGATTACCCCTTAGAGAAGAAACTAAATTTAACAAACAAAATATTAATACTGAATACTGTCTAGAAACAAATAAAAATTACTTACACGTGATCTCTATGTTAGTAAACTATTAAAATAACCAATGATTACAGTGTTAATTCATCTAATGAAACGTAATTTGGAATAATATTAAATAAACGGACAACATAGGCAAGAACTCTGTAATCATATGTAATAAAAACATCTGTGACTAACGGTAAACCTAACCTCTAAAAACTGCTGAAGCGTAGAGCAAAACGCATCACACAAGCCTGTTCGGGATTGCACTGACCTTATACTTCCCAAGTTTCAAGGGCCTGACCGCATTACTCATGTGTTGCGCCATTATGGACCAGCGACATCTTGCAGTGGCGTACCCGCCTCACCCATACTTCAGTGCCGCTACTCCAGCGGAGCCTTTGCTTACACCAGCCATGCCAAATTACTGCAAAATTCGCGTTATTACATAAGGACAGACAACTCCAAGTTACTGGGCGTTCGCCCGACTTCACCCGTTGGCAAACAAATATGTCGGGCACGCCCCTTAAAACTCCTAGAGCCAATAGTTTAAGTTCAGCGGTGGAGTGGCCAATCTATTTACAGAAGATCAAGCAGATAGTGGAATTGCAGCGCTAATGAAACCACTGACTATGCTCACTCGTTTATAAGGCAATGGAGTCAATCCCGTCGCCGAAATATAACGCGAATTTCGCACGTCTCTACAAATTACATGAGTAGGGCCACCTGTTTTTCGCGAAAAATTTACGCGGAGGATAAACTTTAATATCCTATGTGCACACTTGCAGTTATCCTTTGGTTATCGATAGTGACACCAGAATTTCGCGAAAAGATTTCACGACCAGTTGCATTTCATAACACTTTAGCTCAAATGTACTTTTTAGATTAGATGATCTAAGTGTTACACGCCATAGGTGTCTGCTTGCGAATCACAGATGTACAGTAATGGAGTAACCTTATTCTGATTGGACAGCCAAGTAAGAAAATGTCTTGTCACAGTGACACGCCGCCAATAAGCAAAAGGAAACTGCTGGTACGCCCATAGGGTAGTGAAATCTAAAATGTGCGGAAATCTTTTCGCGAAATTCGGGTGTCCCTAGCTATTGACACCTTGTCTTTGTGTGAAAACCGACTGCCACGTGAGTGAACCAATCAGAATTAAGTTTCTTCGATACTGACTGTCCTTGATTCGCGAGCAGACAGATCAGATGCACAGTAATTCAAATGGAACAATCACGGAAGTGGTTCTGAACGAATGGGTTTTGGAACGCAACTTGTCCTGAAATCTCTTTGAGAAAAGCAGCCCCCCCCCCCCCCCGAGTAGAGCATTTAAAAAATATATATACGTACGTTAGTAAACTTGGTAATTATGGGGGGGGGGGGGGGAACCTCTGCAAATGGATAAATGGGGAAACACAATGACAACGGCACAGAATGGCCAAGCATACGGAAGCGGAAACAGTTGCGTGTAGAAACTCCCAATCCGCGTCCTCCAGGCAAGCAAGCAAAATGGCGAGCCGTCATACGCAAGTTTAGTTATGATATAGTTTTTTTTTGCCGAATCACGTGAGTGTATGATAAGTAGACCCCTGAAAAGTTCGCGGGTTAAATGACCTGTAGGCTAGACTCTACAGTATTATGTACAAATATGCCGATATCAACTGCACCTTGGTTGTCTGCTGTCACAGAGGAAGGCGACGATTGGGCCACCGCTCTCCTGTAGGTGTCAAAAACCATGTGGACCAATGGCTAACGTTATGTAGGATGTCCGCTTTTTGAGCTGGCCGGCATCCGTTGAGAATTCGTTTGGAACGCCGAGAAATGGTTCGAGGGGTTTGCGGTTCGAACCACATGAAGGACATGCGGAGCGATGTGGCGCAATGTATCCGGTTTCGATTGCCGGTCTGACAATCCTGGTTTCGGTTTTCCCCGGTGTTCCCAAACAATTCAAAATGGATGCTATAGTCTATTCGCGGTTTCTTTACACTATTTCAATCAAACCTTTGGAAAGTTACCCCATGTATGACGTGTTTAGTTATTTACTAAATATGCCATATATATCACACGCGTTTCATACCACTGTTAAATATATGTATCTTACTTTTCGTTGAATTAAATTTTAACCTATATATTTAATTTATATATATATTATAATAATTATTTATAAAAAATATAAAGGAAAACAGTGAGAAAACATGTGTGTTGGTAGCACTTAGTACGATATAGTTCTCATGCAAAATATCATTACAACTGAGTGCGCACGAATTTGGTGCGGTGTCCTTTAGGGTAATTTTATAGGCTTAGTTTGTATGAGACGGAGGAATATTTTGGAAGTAGGACTTTAGCAGGGCTTCGGAAAAGTGTGAAGTAATGTATTATACGTAGGGACAGGAAAATTTCGCGAATTCATTTTGGAACAAGATAGATGTCAAACACACATAAAATGAAGTCACCTTTGCAATTGGATCACTGCTCATTAGACACGCCCTAGACGCCTCTGAGCCAATAGTAAACTTGAGATGAAACAAGTAGCGAATCGCATACTGCCAGGTGTGAGGTAACACTGGAGCAGCAGCCAATAAACACACAGCTGAGGCTCTAGTGTACACACGACTGTAGAGTCTAGCCTACAGGTCATTGAACTCGCGAAATGTTCCTATCCCTAATTATACGGTAGTTCCTTAAGACAGGCCACGGCCAATTTCCTCCCCGATTCTGTCTGTGTGACTTATTCCGTCTCGACGAGGCTTTGAGTCCTACATACCTGCCGTGGAAGGCACCAAACTGTATGCCATCTGCAGTTGTAAGTTTAGGTTAAATTTAGTTTGTAGCCACTCCTCGATTAGTCTATCGGTAGAGACCCTCCTATTTTAAGTGAATATTTCGTGTTAAAACACTGTTTTTTGCTAGACTTCCAAACAACTCATTCTCCTATTCGCAGACACCTGAATAATTCGCGAGTTCAATGACCTGTAAGCTATACTTGACAGTCTTACATACACTCATGCAGATCTCAACTGTTCATTGGTTGTCTGTTTCGGCATTACAAGCCGGCGGTT